AATTTGTCTTGAAGTATCTTTGACTCCAAAAATATATTTATTTTGTACAAACATAGCAAAATAGGACTGAAAGACAAGATTAGAGGTGTAAATAGATAATGGCTCCCAACTGAAACAGAAATGGTGAAAACAGACATGGCATTGTATAAATATCTTTCTTTAAAAAAGCTTTTTGAAATATTATACAATTAAAATCCAGTTCAAGTTTGTCCAAGGTTAAATACAGAACAAAAATTGTATAATGGCAGCTATTCCAAGTAAAATTTTTTGCTGTCCATTTGGTCTTCACAAGAGAGCTAGGTTTACTAAAATTTCTTTATTAACAAAAAAAAATAGACAAGCTTTTGATCTGTTTTACATTTTAAATTTTAAATTTATTTCTGCTAAGTTCCAAAAAAATACATTAATGCAGAAAGACAGACAAAAAGAAGAAATAATTTACTAAAGAAGGAACATCTCAGCTGTAAAAGATCAACCTCCCGGAGCAACCAGTAAATGGAAGTCTGAGAAGTGCATCAGAAGTGCATTCACGGCCCATCTTATATGTCCATTAAATCTCACGAGTTTCAAATGGTATGAAGTATGTTTTAGTGTTATTAGGGGGTGACTGAGCAAACAAAATATATTTTCAAAATTTTGCAAAAATTACATTTAAGATCACATGTATACAGTTGGAGTTGCATTAAAACATTTTCTTCTAAGTTCTGAGTGATATGGAAGTGATTAATCTGTGGAAAGTGAGAACTGCCTAATTGTTTTAAAATTATTAGCTGAAAGCTAATGGTGAACTGATTAATAGCTTCAGTGATGATTGATCCATCTCCTCCATATAAGAGACTGTTCCAAGAAAACTAATTTAAAATAATTCGAAAAAAAAAAACAACTGTGTAAACAAGGGCAGAGTTGGGCACAATGTTCCTCTGTAGTAAGTTTAATATAATTTAGAAAGATATCACACATAAATATGGAAACTTGCACATACTAGATAATTTTTAGAAAGCTTTAATTTCTGTTTGTGGGGGCTTTTTTATTATTTTTTGTCTTTGTTTCTTTTCTGTTGTGGGAAAAAGTCGATAAGTGATCTTCTGGAAAAAGAGGTGGAGAGAGATTTGAGGAGAAAGACTGGTGAAATCATTTCATTTAAAACTATTTCAAACTGTTTAAAACTATTTCAGTTCTTTAAAAAAAATACTTACTTGAAGCCAGAAAATCTATTACAATTCTGCTGTGTTCTCAGGCCCTTTTCTAAGATAAGATTTTCACCAAAGTTTAGATATGTTCCAATTAGTTTTCCAAGGAACTAAAAAAAAAAAAAAATAAATTTATCTTCCTCCACTGACTGTTCCAGCACTGTCAGGGTAGCACAGAACCCAAATATGCAATGTATTACAGAACTGGGACTTCTGTCTATTTTCTGTACTTATATATTAAAAGGTTTCCTTCATCTAATTCTTGTCAAACATTTCCTTTATTCCAGTGCTTTTAATTTAATTTTTATTAGTTCAATCTGTATTTTCTTGTTTGCTAGCTTATTTTTAAAGGTATTGCGTTAGTGTAGATTATTATCAAACTCATTACATTTTAAGCAGGAAGCTGAACTCCAACAGGAGTCTCAAAGGAGGGAAAAGACCTTGCTGTTACGTACATCCATTAAGCAGCCATTCTTGCCAAGTCCATGTGCATTAGCTACTTTGGTAACTTTAGCAAATTTCATCTGAGCTTTCATTCTGCTGACCTAATTTAACAACAAGGAAATTCAATAACAACTCCTAATATTGAAGCATTATTTCCCAAGTGGAATTTAACAACACTTCTACATCAAATAATAATGTGTGAATAATGGAATATATATACTGATGGCAACAAGAAAGCGAAAAAAGACGCCCAAAAAAACCCACCAACCCACAACAGAAAAAGAGAATATATTATATCTCATTTTCAAAAAAAACCCAATAGCTTTCCAATTTTTAGGGAAACTAATAATATCCTGAAGAGCTCATTTCAAGTTTGAAATTCCTATAGTCTTTGAGAAGAAACATTTCTAAGTATCTGAGAATAAATCTTAGCCCTCCTTTCTCACTCACTATACTTTTGTTTCAAAAGAACTTAAATATGAGTGGTGATAAATAATTTCCGAGGACCACATCTCCTGTTGGTACATGCTCATATAATTCAGCAAATGTTATTAGTGGTTTATATTAGAACAGATTGTTCTGGGTAGTATTCAAAGTTCACAAATCAAGTAATGTCAGTGTTTTAGGAGAAAGGAAGAAGAGGTAAATGAAATGCCACATAACCTGGTGTTTATTTAGACAAATGGAAATGAATGCCTGTGACTTACTGTGAACAGTCTTGGGGTTAAAGTCCTTTGAGAAGTTCTTTAGTTTTCCAGATGTTGGAGGAGAGGGTAAAACATTCTCCTGAGAGAATTTAACTCTGAAGACAAAAGCTGGTTCCTGAACAGAATCTGTTCAGTTATTAACACACACACATGCACGTGCACACACAGTGTCTTTTAACTGTAAGAAACCACTATATTTCATAGGCTTTCCACTCGAAACCCCTGACATTTTATTGGAAACTCTTAATCAACACGGTCTTACTGGAAATATCTTAAGTAGCACATCAATATCAAACCGAAACACAGAAACAACTTTTCTTTGAAAAATAAAAAATATTTAAGATGATAGTGAGCTATAGCATGACATTATTGAAACCAGAGGACACAGGGGAATGCTGTGTGCAATTTTACTTATTATCGAAAACAGAAAAGGGGAGAAAAAACAACCCAAGCTTTTTACTACTTGACTTTTGTGCTACATGTGGAAGAATATAAAAGGAACTGCAACCACCATCTATGCATTTTGTTTTCTGTGGGCCTACCGAAAAAAAACCCAAACCACCCTGATTAAAATTTGCAGAAACTATATCCTATTAAGATGGCAAATCATAGATCTTCATGATTTACTGAAGGAAAACATTACCAAATGATCTCACTGGCAGAAAGTGTTACTCTTTAAATGCTGGGATGGAAGTAAAGTGAAGAAAACCTGGCTAAATTTGTCTTGCTGAAATAACATCTCATGGTTGTGTCAGAAGAAGGAAAAACTAAAAGAAAAGAAAGGAAAACAAACAAAAAAAAAGAAATGCAGACAAAACAAAGATGAGTTAGGAGAAGCTTGCCTTCTCTCTGCAATATCACTTCTCACAATGAGATTAATTTCAGTACTTTCCAAAATCAGTTATGTAGGATACTTGCAAAACAGGCCCTCATTTTTTTAAATACTTCCTACATTTTTTACATGCTTGACAAATTTGATGGTCTTCTATGAAGGGGTTACAGCGGCAGTGGACAAGGGAAGATCAACAGATGTCATCTACCTGGACTTGCGCAAAGCATTTGACACCATCCCACAGGATATCCTGGTCTCTAAATTGGAGAGACATGGATTCAACAAATGGACCACTCGATGGATAAAGAACTGGCTTGACAGTCGCACTCAAAGAGTTGCGGTCAATGGCTCAATGTCCAAGTGGAGAGAAGTGATGAGTGGCGTTCCTCAGGGGTCGGTACTGGGACCTGTATTATTCAACATTTTTGTCACAGACATGGACAGTGGGGTCGAGTGCACCCTCAGCAAGTTTGCCGATGATACTAAGCTGTTTGGCGAGGTAGACATGCTGAAGGGGAGGGATGCCATCCAGAGGGACCTGGACAGGCTGGAGAGGTGGGCCCAAGCCAACCTCATGCAGTTCAACAAGGCCAAGTGCAAGGTCAGCAATGTGCAATTGCAGCCCAGAAGGCCAACCATATCCTGGGCTGCATCAAAAGAACTGTGGCCAGCAGATCAAGGGAGGTGATTCTGCCCCTCTACTCCACTCTCGTGAGACCCCACCTGGAGTACTGTGTCCAGCTCTGGAGTCCTCAACATAAGAAAGACATGGACCTGCTGGAGCGTGTCCAGAGGAAACCCACGAGAATGATCAGAGGGCTGGAGCACCTCTCCTATGAGGAGAGGCTGAGAGAGTTAGGGCTGTTCAGCCTGGAGAAGAGAAGGCTCCGGAGAGATCTTATTGTGGCCTTCCAGTATCTAAAGGGGCCTACAGGAGAGCTGGGGAAGGACTTTTTACTAGGGCATGTAGTGACAGGACGAGGGGGAATGGCTTTAAACTGGAAGAGGGCAGGTTTAGATTAAACATCAGGAAGAAGTTTTTCACTTTGAGGGTGGTAAGGCACTGGAACAGGTTGCCAGAGAAGTTGTTGCGGCCCCATCCCTGGAGGTGTTCAAGGCCAGGCTGGACATGGCCTTGGGCAACCTGGTCTAGTGGGAGGTGTCCCTGCCCACGTCAGGGAGGTTGGAACTCGATGATCTTCAAGGTCCTTTCCAACCTAAACCATTCTATGATTCTATGATTTTAAGGCCAAGTTTGCACCACTCCATATCGCAAGATCATCTCTAGAACTTTTTCTATTTAAAAGTTTGCTTCTTGTCATGTTGTATTTCTTCTGATGCATATGATGTTCCTTTTTACCATTTAAAATACCCTGGAGAACTGGTGTTTTACCATTTCCTCATTTCTAAAACTACTTTGTGTTGGCTTTTCTGTTCTCTTGATAGTAAGATTAATAAAACACTGGAATTCTTGTAAATCAAATCGGGTGGAAAACATGTGAAGCAAAGGCAGCAGAATTTAATGTGTAAGTTTCAGCAATATTAATCCCCCAGTCTATACAAAGAACACTCTTAGAAGTTTCTAAATGGAAAGGTTTTAATGGGGAAATAGTTGATCATCTCAGGGCACTCTTTCTTAAGAAGTGTTTTGACAGCAGCTACCTAACATATTCACAGTGTTCTCTTTATCTGGATAGCCTTTATATTCCTGACCAGGTTGCTTTCTATGTCATAACATTTTGTACCTGCGGGGTATAGCAGCAGGGATGTTGAACATTAAGGAGTGAATGCATTTCAACTTGTACTCTCTCTTCTCTGTTTACTTTCAGAATTTGGTTACTATGTACAGTTCAGAGATGAGTTGCTGGAAACTGCTTGCCTGCATCAGCAACTAGAGACATAAAAAGCAAGTCACAAAAAACAAAACTGTAGACTCCACCACTGCCCAGCTTGAAGAGCATCAGCAGTGGAGAACTATGACAATACAGCAAGTCCTATTACTTCTGCTGCTCTGGATGTGGTTGCCGCTTCCCTGCCATACAGAAATGCTGTTCAGAAGGACTCCTGATCTCAGACCCAAAAGCTTTGGAGGACGTGCATCTGGGAATGATGGAAAAGCAATTCACCGTCAGAAGCGAGGCTGGATGTGGAACCAGTTTTTTCTTCTAGAGGAATACACAGGATCTGATTATCAGTATGTAGGCAAGGTAGGTTTCTCATTAAGATTTCTGTATAGTTGTCAAGTTTACTTATCTTTCCACAGATCCCTAATTTCTATGTTTTATTCTATTGCATAAGAAGCAGAATTCCAGGCAAAATATATATATATAGTTTGTCCTCCTAGAATCACTAAATTAATGTTGCTATTCAAGGTTATTCAGACATATTTGCATGAAACAAATGAAGATATCTTTAACAAATTTGTTTGCTTTAGCACATCGGTCCTACCAGCAGTCCACTATCTCTTCTGTATCAAAACCCATTTTATAATTCATTATAAAATTATTTTTCAACTCTTTGAATATTTTTTATTTCATACAAAATAACACATACTTTTTTCTCTGCTTATATTTGAAGAATGAAAACTAGTTTGAAGAAAAAATATTCTTCTTCTTTAAGTCTCCCTGAATTTCAACAAACTGCAGTGAGCAAAATTCCTTAACAACTGTGTGATAGAAATGAGTTGGTTAGAAAGTGAACTACAACAGGGGTCAACAGAACTGCACATAAGACTGTGTAGCATACTATCTGCATACATAAAGGACATTGGAATTGTCTTTTAAGTTATTTTCAGTTGATGTTTCTGTTTTGCCATGTCATTTATTAAAAAATATATAACTCATAATGCCACAATAATATTCAAACAGATACAAGGAATTACTTCAAAATAGTAATTTGCTGAAAGTGGAAGTTAGTGTCAGCAGTAATGGGTACCATCAGCACTAATGGTTGGTGATAAACACAGAATTTTCATTTTCTGTAATCAAGATTTTAATTTTTTACATGGTTTTAAACTTGTAAAATACTGCAGAGAGATAGTGACTTGTTGAAAATCACTTGTTAAAAATAGCTGAGATAGTAAGGTGCCTCTGGAGATCATCTAGCCCAACCCCGTTGCTCAAAGCAAGGTCAGCTAGAGCTTGCTCAGGACTATGTCCGGTCAGATTTTAAATATCTCCGAAGAAGGAGGCTCCACAATCTTTCTAGGCAACCTATTCTAGTGTTTGACCATCCGCTCAGTAAAAAATTTGTTTCTATACTTAAAGGGAATTTCCTGTATTTCAGTTTGTGCCTATTCCCTTTTCTCTTGTCACTGGGCACCACTGAAAAGAGACCGGGTCTGTCTCCCTTGCTCCTTCCCACCAGGTATTTATATACATTAATAAGATCCCTGCTGAGCCTTCTCTTCTCCAGACTGAACAGTCTCAGCTCTCTCAGCCTCTCCTCCTATGAAAAATGTTCCAGTCCAGTCCCTTAATCAACTTAGTGGCCTTTTTGCTGGACTCTCCAGGAGCTTCTCCTCTCTTCTACTGGGGAGCTCTTCCACTGAGCACTCCAGATGTGTCTCAACAGGGCAGAGCAGAGAGGAAGAATCATCCCTCTTGATTTCCTGGTGATGCTTTTCCTAATGGAGCCCAGGGTGCTGTTGATCTTCTTTGCTGCAAGGGCACATTGCTGGCTTATGGTCAGCCTGCTGTCTACAAGGACCCCAAGGTCCCTCTGTAAAACTGCTTTCCAGCCAGTTGGTTCCCAGCATGTACTGGTGCATGGGTTTATTATATCATAAAATGTTTCTTTTAAGGAGTAAGGATGTTGGGGTGTTCGAGAAAGGAAATACTTATGAAAATGTATGAAATTTAAATACTAAGTAAAAATTTAAGAGTGCAAGCTTATTAATGAGTAAACTGCCTTTTTGTTTCCACTTTTTATTTGTTGCTTTGAGTCTGTAATTTTAACACCAGCATTTGAATGATACAGCCATTTCCAAAGCATGTTGAGAGCCTTGTAAATAGTTCTTATATTTATTTCATACACTTATTAAGTGTAAAGTCATGGCTCCCAAGTGTACCAAAGTATCTAGGACAGTTCCTCAGTCCAGGCCAGGCTGATAGCTTATGAAAATTGACCTGGCCCACAAAATAATAAGTGTCGAAAGACTATGCTATTGTATTTGGAAGTGTATTGCCCCCAGAAGTCCCAGGAAATAAATAGCTTTGCAGGGCACACTGAATTTCAAATTATTTATGCTCCTTCAGAAACCTCCGGATTACTTTTTTTATTGCATTGTTTTTTAATACTTATGATCCCAAATCATAAATTGTGAGTGGTCTTACTTCATCATTTTCTTCCAGTCATGATGAGTGAAGGAAGACTCTTTAGAGGGAAAAGCATTAATATTTTTATAGGCTAGTTCCTCTGCCTTAGAAAAAGAGAGAGATGTTGATAAACAGAACTATTTTGGCTGAGAGAAAATAAGTGTTTGCAAATGGGAAGTGATAAGTAAAGATAAGTAAAAGTAAAAGGAACTTGAGAAGCACTTAAGACTGCACTTTTACATTTTTGCTCTGCTTAGAGCAAAAATGTTAATTTGAGCAAGCAAATTTAAAATTAACCTGAGAATATAAAGTTGCCTTATAGTAATTTTCTGAAAAGTTTGGGAAAAATGTAGAAAACACGTGCAAAATGAAGACTATCATAGCATTGTATTTGCACAGAGAGTTTTACACAAAGGAAACAAAAGGAAACAGATTATATGTGAAGCTAAAACTTGATTATTAACACTACTTAATGTTTTAACAGCCTGATAGTCCAAATTCTGAAATTATTAGATAAAAAAGTAATTAATGATTAAATTCATAGTGAATAAACTTCATAGTATCTATCTCTTTTCCCTGGTGTTGCACTCACCTTTTCAAAGGCCATCTGGGTTGTATAGTCAATATGTTTCTGGATGTTTTCTTTTATCTGATTTTATCCAAAGACAGAATGATTCGGATAGGTGGGTGACATAAAATGCCACCTTCTCGTTAATTTCTTTGCTACATGTTTGGAGACGGTATTTGGAAATTATGTGAGATATGAGAGCACTTCCCATCCCTGGAAGTGTTTAAGGCCAGACTGGATGGGGCTTTGAGTAACCTGATCTAGTGGGAATTGTCCCGGCCCATGGCAGGCAGGTTAGAACTAGATGATCTTTAGGGTCCCTTCCAACCCAGACCATTCTATGATTCTATAATACTGTGATGGAAATGAGGTTCAATGAATGGGATATGTAATCCAGTAACAGTGGAAGACTTCCTTGTTTAAGTCAACCATGCTTGTGAAATAGTGGCAACATACAAATTGAGTGATTATGGACAGTCACTGGTTGTTTCAGATCAGTATTTATTATTATTATAAGAAAGGAGGATGCTCATCCTTTCTTTCTTGTAATACACAGCATCCTGAGGTTATAAATCAAAATGATATGTGAATTTTGTATATGCAGAATCTCAAATAATAATTACAACTGTAGTTTCTAGTAAAGGTTGAAGTCATAAAAAAGAACAGTGTGAGAAACCAGACCTATATATGTATTACACAATTTATCTTTGAGGTATCTTCGCAAAAATATACTAAAAGTCACTGATTCCTAGAAAAGGTACTTTTCCCAATTTCAGACAAAGAATGCAGGGATGTTCAAAAAGAAGCTTAAACCCCATTTTATTCATATTTGGGGTTAGAGTTATGGACAATACTTTATGTTTTTTTCTGTGCAGAAAGTCTATTTATGCTGTTATTCTTTCTTAACATACAGAAAGCTGATTCATAATTGTATTTCTTTTCGTTAGTATATAGTTTCAAAGCCCATTTATTATTTTTCAGATAAAGTGGTACAACTACAAAGTATTATGCATTTTCAAACTTGTTCTGAAAAACTTCAATTTATTATCCAGAAAAAAACATTTCTTTTAAATCTAAAAATTTTACTCTAATAGTTGTCACCTAAAGGAAGCACTACTGTGTACCAACAATGTTTTAATCCATAGTTGTTCAAAAATAAATTTACAAAGAAATTCTTCATCCACATTAAAGTTTATTTTCCTTCCTTATTATTTTGCCAGATCTTGCCATTTGTTTCATTCTTGCAGATATTTTTCCCACTTTGCTCTCTGAGACATTGACTTTTTCCAGCAATTTTCATCACAGTAGTTTTATTGCATAAAGGATCAACTGACATGAATTTTTCAGTACTTCAAGAGATGGAAGTTCTTAGTTACACTGCGGTGGTTTTTAGTATCTCAAAAGACAATTTATCAGATATTTGCACATAAATTTATATATAATTTTGCATATGCCATATTAGAACTGTTACCAGAGAGGATTATCCTAGCAGTATTCATAATTGCATAAGTGCACTTATTATCTTTGATGGTGTACAGAGCAGAACATGTCAAGCTCATTTAGTTCCTCCCTGTTCGAGAACTCCAACACAGACAGGATTCTGAGGAAAGGACTTGGAGTATTAGCAACATATGCATACATCACATGGTTTCAAAAACAGTTCCTGGGTAAGGGCCTGTCTTTTCCTGTTAGTGACTATCTCTGTCTATTGACACTGTGGATGATACACTACAGAATTGGTACCTGAAGGAGGTTCCCACATCTTTAACTCGATAAAGCCTGAAAGACAGATAGCCCAAAAAAGTGTCATTGCTTTTATACATCTCATCAAGAGCGTAATGTGTAACGAAAGCGTGAACGGAGCTCAGGACAGCTTATCACCATGTCGTAAAGATGTGAACTACGGAAGTCTCAGATGTTGCTTGTACTCTAGTTAAATGTTTATGTATTAGAATTAAATATACTGTTTGAAGTTAGTATTGCTAGTATTCCTTCATATTGCTTAATATTGTTAGAATTGCTTAGTATTCCTTCATATAGTCCATAATTCAATGAGAAATATTTTACATAGAATTTGGCAACATCAGAGGTAAAAAGATGCATTTTCCTGGAAGTCCATGTTCTGTCAAAATACAAGGATAAAGATTAGCTGAGATCAGACATATGTACTGTTGTTGCTGTTGGAGAAACAATCAGTTTTAAGGAAAGATTAATCAAAATAATTTCCTGAGAGAAATGAAAGCCAGAAACCATCCTGGGCAGGAATTTTGAATGGACTTTTCTTTCTGATGAAGCAGCTACCAAAAATACTCATTTTGGAGAG